ACAGGTGTACCTAATAAAGTGGCCGGTGAGTGTACAATAAATATATTGTCAGGTTGATTGTGCAGGAGAGACTTTTTTCACTTTAGTTTCTTTAAATACGCTTTTTGAGAACTTTTAGTTGACTTCATGTTGTCACTGTAGGATTTTGCTCCATTAATATGTTGTTACCGTCTCCATATTTGAACCTGCAGCATTAATTTAGCCCCTTTCAATTCTCCTCAGCCAGAATCCACTCGGAATAAACAGAAAATTATTCAAATTAACAAAGATACACAATGATGGAAGAATTATTCTAGATTAACATAAGATGGTTGTGCATCATAACTCCACCTGGATCTCCTCTAATGAAACAATCAGCCTCTGTGCAACACAGCAGCTGAGCTCTGCAGCTTTCCATCAAATCAGCTAATTCCTAATTTATGAAAAACAAAACATCTGATTTTCTCCCCAAAAAATGGATTTTTATGTACGAAGCAGATTTAGAGTCACTTAGATAATATAAAAATATTATTATTTTTTAGAATAAAATACAAAATCTTTCACAGAATAAAGTTTAAATTATGAGTAATCAATCATACGACACAGAACTAACTAGAAATGTTCCTTTAGATCAGAGAACTTTTCTTTCCTCAAAGCTAAAGTCCAACATTAACAGTAAAAGTAGAAGCAAATTTAAAACAGTTAGATGTTTCTTAGGAAACGAAAGTTAATCCACATAATCAGGGTGAATTCAAATGTGTTCCATTCACAGACAGTAGGAGACGCCACTGAGAAAATGAGTGCCACTCAACAATAAGAACCACAGAAGAAGATCCATAACTAAGCTTTCGAAGTTTTTTCTCATTTCAACATTTAGAAAGTGTTGAAGATTCAAACATCCCAAAGATATATATAACAATAAAAAATATCCCAGCATTATTTTTCACTCTCTGTTTGTTTTCTGAGTGAAATCAGAACCTCAGAGAAACTAAATGCATTTGCAAACTAATCAAAATTGAACAAAAAGCAGTTTCTAAATCACAGAGCAACTTCATTCTGGTCACATTTTTACGGTAAGAAGCGGACTTTCTCACTCCAGCCCATTAGGTGGCAGTAATACATGGTTTGCAGCCCCCCAAAAAGAGAAGAATGCGAGTATGGACTAATTTCTTCGCCAAGTATGTTCTTGAGAAGAACACAGGAAAGTGTGGACTTGGTGAGAACGGGAGCATGTGATGTCATCACACCCTCGGCTCGTCTGGAGCTTCATTTCAGATCCTTTTATTAATAGTCTCTAGATAATAATAAATTATGATGTTTTTTTCATTTGTTGGGGGAATAATAATTACCACAGTCAGATAAACACAAATCAAAAAAATATTTTGCCAAATAAAACAAAAACTCGCCATCATAGCCAGCGGTACTTCACACACGGCTACACAAAATAAGAAATTCATTATGATAGGCCGAAAAAACTGAAGTCACCTCCCGCCATCTTGATACTCTCCACTTTCATGGAAAGTGCCATAAAAATACCTGTAATGTAAAGTAATTACCATAACAATGTAATCAATACATGTATATTACATGTACATCATCAATTTAGCACATTTGGCGCATCATCAGATAGTGTGTGTGTATGTAATATTCTTAATATCTAAATACAGCATTATGTATTATGCTCCATTCACATATTAATTTTGTAGTGATGGATTTGTATAATATGTTATATAGCATGATTTGCCTGGTTCTG